TATTTTAATTTCAGAACAGCAGTAAAGACTACAAAGCTGAGGAATTTAAGCACTTTCCTGCTGGGCTGATGAGTTAATTTATTTTTTTAATTTGTTGTAACCCCACAAAAAATTATATTCTTTGGAGACCTCAATAGCCTGAGCTCTGCGAGTATTATTTGGTCCAAGAGATTAATGAGGTAGGAGAGGCAATTTCTAATGGAATCCCTTGGTTTGCATCACCCCCCTCCTCACCCCCGCCTACAAACTTGGTTACCAATTCAGCATTATGAATCTACTAAGTGTTCTTGGCATGTTTGATGGGGAGAGGGGGAGAAGATATAAACCATAGGCTAAAAATTAAAAAAAAAAAAAAAAAAAACTTTCCTTCCTACCCTTGCCCTGCATCTATTAGCTGCAATGCAATTATTGACTCTCTCATCTTCTGTAAGAGATATATGTTCACGTTTAGCTTGAAAGCCTCAATGTTTGAAGAGGGTTCCAAAACCCTCAATGTTGCAAGAGTGTTCCAATCTGTGGTTTTGGGTATTTTCAGGGATTAATTTATGTCTTGTCGCTCCACGGAATACCCAGACCACTAGATTATATAATTAGTCATCATTATTGCCCTTTCTTGATAGTGTTACCTTCAGTATAGTCTTATTGGAGTGGAAAAACTGCATCCTGAAGACCACATGTGGCCTCCTAGGTTCTTAAGTGTGGTCTTTTGACTGAATTAAAATTTTACAGAACAAATCCTTTTATTAAAAGGGGTGCAGCAGAGAAAAATGAAGCTTTTCTTGCCTCCTTCGGTGCTTAAAAAAGAACAATGTTGAAATCAGCAGATCACAGGTTCCCTCCCATGCCGGCAGGGGTGCAATTGAAAGCATAGGTAAAGGACATAGGAGCTGCGTGTGTTACATATAAGTGTTTGAAGGGAAAGTTAAAGGTCGGTCCAATAGTGATAATGAAGTACAGCACTTCCTATTTTATTCCAGAGATTAATTCTGAGAGTACCAGTGAATGACGCGGATTTCCCACACTGCTAACAGCACTGCTAGCTGTGTAGCGTAAGTGAGGGTCAGGTGACAGGAGCCAAGAGAATTTTGACAAAAGCAGCATTTCTCACAGCTGCAGAAGGACTGCCACAAAAGAAAATTTAGGAATTCAAAACTTTCTCTGACTCTCATTGCAAATTTAAATGGCTACTGTGGCATAACAGTAGAAATGTAAATTGTGGCCTAAAAATGTTTCTTGGGTGGAAAAATGTTTACTACATGATATTTAGTGAAAAAAGAAAAATGCAAAACTAAGTAGTATGAACTCAAATTTGGAAAAGAACAGAAACAAAGATAAAACAAAACATTGAGAAATAGAGAGAAAATGTTTGAAAAGAGAATGGAAGTAATTAGATGAAATGTTAACAATGGGTGGCAAGATGGTCTATGGTTATTTAATTTTTAATGCATTTTTGTGTTTATTATAACATGCAAAATAGATATTGTAAACATATTTTTAGGAGAAAAAAAGCTATTGAGAAACCGAATTATAGCCTTAACTGGTTTAACATATAATGATTGCATCTTCCATATTTGTGCCATTTGTCATGAAGTATTTCAATTTCCGTCCTCCAACAAAATTCTCATCTTGCTTATTGGAGACTGAAAAATAAAGGCACTAGTAAGTCAAATGATCTTTCAATTACCACTTAATTATAACAGAATTAAGTTCAATGAAAAATTCTGAATGCTTATTATGAACAAGGTATCAGGGCTTGAAATCAAAGTTCTCAGAATAGTGAAGGACTGAATATATCACTATACAGAAATAGGTTACAAAAGAGTGTAAGCTAGTAAAAACAAAATTTAAAAGATACCATAATCTGGAGGAATAGGATCAGGGAAAGTTATGTTACCACATTTCTCACATTAGAGGTGAGATCTCTGAGAATCAACTGTTTGTTCCTCTTAGAACATAATTCACAATGTTTTTTTGTTTTGTTTTGTTTTTGTTCCTTACCATGGGGAAACTATGAATAACAATCATAACTAATATTTTTTGGTTGAATACTATGCATCAGACATATTCAGGAAACCTGTGATATAATATTTTACACATATTATCGTATTCAATTCTCAGAAAATGTCTTGTTTTTGTAGTAATGAAATTGTGGTGTGGCTTAGGGATTAAGCCACTTATCCAATGTCACACTCCTAAAAAGTGTGTTATCCACACTGGAACCCTTGTCTATCTGATTCTGAGTCTATGCTTTTTTCCAACATTCCGCACAATCCTACGTAACGTAATGGGAATACAAAATATTACCTAAAAATCTGATTGACCTAAGGTAAAGTTAAAATTCCTCTAAAAGAGAGAACTTTATCTTTGGTTAGGAAGCCACTTTAATTCATATGTTTGGTTAGGAAGAATAAGTTAGTTAGGATAAGACAATAGTAATTCAGTGATTTAAGACATGTAGAATTTATTTGTCACTTACGTAATGGCCTAGGATGTACTAGTTCAGAGTATGGCTCTGCTCCACTTGACTATTCATGAACCCAGACAAAGGTCATCTCTGCCATCCTCAAGATATGGTTTCCAATATGTGGTCATTCCAATCCTTGGGAAGGAGGAAAGAGCACAGAGGAGCACACATATGAGTGTCTAGGGGCCCAGCTTAGAAGAAGCACCTGTCAATTGCACTGACATTCTACTGGTGAAAGCTCAGTTACCCATCCATACCTCCAGAAAGAGGACTTGAGTTGAAGAGACATAATGCAGAGGAGAGATTCAGAAGGCAGTGGAAATATGAAATTGGAGCTAGAAGCAAAAAGGAAAGCTCTAATCAATCTTGGAGATATCTGGGCATGCTAAGTTTCCCAGAGTATGGGATTTGGGACATATAGCCATTTTATTGAGATATCACTGAGGGTAATTTCAGAAAGCTGGAGAATTTAAGGTTATTCTGGTTACAAATGGCATATGTAGCTGTGGTAGAGAAAAGAGATCATTGGACTTAGCAGAGAAATCCAGGCATCTTAATCCAG